GATGACCAAGGATCTGGAAGTTTTTCCGGCTATGTTTGACACATGACATGTGTATTTGGTTTCATCGTCTTGCAAGGAAACTTTAACTGAGTCCTCTCCATTAATCAGCGGTTCATCATCTTTAAACCATGCGTACTTTAGCGGATGTCTGTTTGCCGTGTTGCAAAGCAGCAGAAGCTCTCTTTTCATCATTGCTTTGTCGTTTTGTTTAAGAATAATTCCTTTAACTTCAGTTATAACAGGATGCTCTGATTAAAAAGAATGAAAAGAAACATATTTCTAAGCTGCAAAGCGAGATTTCTTGTAATACTTTGGTGGTCAATCTGATGGACAGGTAAGGTGCATTTTACTGCGTGGGCCAAATTCTTGGAAAATTTTTGCATTCTTTTGGACACCGGCAAAGCGCTCTTGGCAGCTGAATGTACACATGTATGGGAGCCATTCAGTGCTAATGTAGGAGCCGTTAGTGTTTGTTATGTCTTTATATATTTTTTTTAGCTTCCTTGTTATCTATTTTTTTCGCCTTCCTTTTTCACTGCATATTGCCAAGATTTTTAATGTTTGCTTGTTTGCGTCTCGATTTCGTGGTGTTCAATTCGTTTTATTGTTTCATGTTATTGATGACCTTTTAAAGCATAATGGTAATAGCAGAGTGATGAAAGAAGCGATAAGCCAGAAAAGAACTTTTGAGTTGCCATCTAAGATAATAACCGTAGATGTCTAAAGCAAAGAAAGTCCTTTCACGCTGAAAAAGATCCTTCCTCTCTGACTATACAAGGTTCACACAATGAAAAAAAAAGTAACATGTTAGAAAGGAAAAGTATATCGCCAAACTATTTCAGAAACCTTGCTTACATATGCATATTAAATGACCCTTTAGACCGATTAACCTTCATGGACTTACCAACAACCAGGACTTTCATGGACACTCTCAGACCATTATCCACCTGACAATGGTAGGTACCTTCATCCTTTGAGGAAACGCTGTGAATGGTTAGTTCTTGGCCACCGACGTTTAGGGGTACATTGCTTTTGTCTCTGTACCACTGGACGGTCTGGTGCGGCTGACCACACCGAAGTGTGACAGAGTGACCAGCAATCACTTGGTTGTTCTTTGCTGGGGTGTAAATGACCGGAACATCTGGAGAATGTATCGAAATTTATGATGTCAACTACAGTTTCAGCCAACAGCTGGGAGGGGTACCATTTTTCAGTGACACAATGTGCAAAATTCTGAAGGTGCAGTAGATTCACTGACGTAAGACGGCACTCTGTGCACATAGTTTAACCGAGCTTAGCAACATACGGGAGGCTTGTTATCGTAGAACTGCATTGAAACAGCAACCTCCCTCCCTCCCCCAAAGTTTTTCACTTTCGTCAACAGTTCTTACGTTTTCAATGTTTCTCTTTAATCTTAGACTGTTGGGTTTAAAGCATCGTAACGCACAAATTTGCATAGACTTCTTTGACGCGACTTACTTTCATTCGTCTTGAACGATACATACTGTGAACTCGACCCATTCCCCGCGGCATTCTCGGCTTGTACTCGCACTTTATATTGTGTGTTGCTCAGGAGACGTGTGAAAATGACTGATTGTTTTCCGTACGATGATTGCCGTTTGATAACATTCCCGGGTGCAATAGACAATTCCACATAATGATTTGTTACGTTGCTACCAGGAAAAGGCAAATTCCATCCCACACGGACAGCAGAAGAGTTCATATATTCGATAGAAACGCCTTTAGGGACACCTGGCAATACTGTAAATATAGCAAACGAAAATAAAATGAACTGACCTCAAACGCTGGTACGAGTCAGGCTTGCGTACAAGTAACATGAATCCATTGGCTGGTGTACAGAGTTTTGACACCAAGCAAAGATCTTAGGAAAAGATGAAAATGTTCCCTTCCCCCCCGCCCCCACGTCACACTTTTCTTTAGAGTCGCTGATAAATGTATGAGCATGGCATATCCGTTTAAAAAAAGACTGACTGAAGAATAATTGACACTCTATGATTAATGCTAATTGTTCTGGATTAAAGGCCCATTTTCACCCTTGATGCAACGCGCGCCTCAACCCAATTTCCAGTAACACGAAATTCCCAGATTACTGAAAACCTTCTAAAATCGTCTTTCTCAAGAGCCATCCAGGACATATAGTCAACTGTTTTACAGTACATACATTTGCCGTTCGTCATTTTACAGTTTCCTCACAGTATTTTGAATTTTGTCTTGTAGAATCCCAGGAAAATTTATTTTAAATGTCACGCTTGGACAGATCTCTTCGTACTCTGTGAACAGAGTCGGCGAAAAGGACAACGTTCGAATTTTTTCACTTTCTGGAAGCACTTGATGATTCTAGATAAAGATGAAATATCTTCCAATAGAAATTGGATTTTTCAAAGAGAAATATAGAAAAATATCAGACTGCCGGACGTTTAGTTATTCGAAGACCGTTTCCGGTAGTGTCCGCTGGAAATCTTGTAGTGTCACGCTTGGATCTCTTCGTACTCTGTGTACAGGGTCGGCGAAACGGACAACGTTTGAATTTTTTCACTTTCTAGCCGTGCTTGAGGATTGTAAATGAAGGTAGAATATTTTCCAAGGAAAAATTGGCATATTTCAAAGAGAAATATGGAGTTATTTGAGGACCGTGTCCAGCCGTGTCATTGAAAAGTTTCTAAGTGCCAAGCGCTTGGATGGCTTCGTACTCTGTATACAGGGTTAGCGAGAAATATCAAGTTCAAATTTAAGGCTGCCTGGAAGCACTTGAGGATTGTAAATAACGGTAGAACATTTTCGTATAAATATTTTTTGGATTTGGAAGAAAAATATGGAAAATATCGGACTGCTGGAAGTTTAATTATTTTAAGACCATATCCGGCTGCCAAACGTTTAATCACTTCATTGCAGGAACGTCAGCGACACTGATGGTTTACGTTTCAATTTTTATTTGCTGCTTTGCACTCTCAACAACCTCAGCCACCCTTTCGAGCGCAAGCTCCTCTCCACGAGCAGGAAACTTCAACTGACCCTTGGTCCTATTTAACAAGGATGGCAAACATCAATAAAAAAAATTGATGTATAAATGAAAACATGGTGGATCAACATTTTCACCTTCCTCAGAATGCTCGCATGGATTTTCGTGTTCCTCTTTAGCAACAACCGATCCATAAGCATTTACTT